GTGACTCCATGTGCTTGGCACCCAGCTCGGTGGGCACCACGATGTCGGGCAGTGGGGCAGGTGGCGCCGATACCACTGAGAACAGGGAGCCGCACTCGAGTCCCACTCCATCAGCTGATCCGGCCACGCACGCCCCTCCGCCGGCGCCCTCAGCCGGATTCGTGTGGAGAAGGCGCCCTCCCGACTCGTACTGGACTCCACCAGCTGGGTCCGGTTCACTCGCGCAGTAAACCGATCCCCGGGAACCCTGGAAATAATTATTAGAGCATACGATAAGTAAAACACTAGATATTATACATAGCTTTTTTTAAAAAACATTTGAGCTTTCTAACATTTTTCTAGATTTTACTTTAAAACTTTTTAATTTTATTTAGTTGCATCATTTCTTAAGCATTAAATTACATTAAATTTATTTGGGTATTATAACTATTCTTTTCACCTCTATTCTTTTTTTAATTAAGTAAATAGTTTATAAATCGAAAACTTCTTTCAAGAAAATCCAATTCAATCATTTCAATCTGGAAAATATGTCTATATATATTGTCTGTGTCTAAAAATTAAGTAAAATTAATTGAGGTTTGCGAAAAGGTATAACTAAGATATTATTGTTAACAAAAAAAAATAAATTAAAAAAGTTTTTCTTTATTAGGTAAACCACTTTTTGTTGATAATCCCTAAATAGCTGCGCCTGTCCAATTAACAAAGTTAAATTGCGAAAGTATTTATCAAGCAGTTATTATAATAATTCCGCCTCCATTTCGTACCATTAAAAAATGGGTTAACTTGCCATAAATGCGGGCCTGTTGACAAATCGACTGGAGGCGGGTCAAGGAAGCAACAACTTAGCCCAATTTGCATTGCTAAACGAAATGCGAGGAGCGCACGCGATCTCCCGACTTATAGACGATGTCGCTGCAGCGCCCTAATATATGCAATACGTTTTGTTTAATTGAGTTAACATCCAGTTTTCCCCTCGTTTCCCGCTCTTTCGAGGCCCATAATTACCCACGGACCGAAAGGATTTTCTTGTTTATATGTACTTTGTTAAATCGATGGCGAGCTGCAGGTGCATGCTGTGCCTTTCGGGTTGGCATGACGTCTGGGAATTTTCCATTTCCCCATCCATTTGTCTGCGGGATCCGCTCCCACTTCCTACAACAAAACAGCAATTTTCCGACGACTCAGGGTCAAGTGCAAGGTGGGGGCGGTCTGGCCTGCGGTTGCCTTCTAGCGTTTGGGTTCTGTCTTTGTTGCCGGAAATTGATGGGTGGTTCGATTGGCAGCCAGCGGGGAGTGGGTATTTGCTCCAATCCAAGGCTGATGCAACGTTCGAACCCAAGGCTAGTGCCAGGAAATACCCGTGCTGATAAGGCCGAATGGAACGACGCCAAACTTGGCTAAGCCCTCGAAGAAAGGTACGAAATGGGAAATGAATCCTAGGTATTATTGAGCTCACTACTTGGCCAATAGATGAAAAACTTAACCATGACTTTTTACAATCCCTACATTTCTTGGAACAACTATTTTATTGTTTTTCGACTGACATTGAAAGACTTTCCTAATTAGTTTGCATTACCTGCACCTACAAATATTTACTAACAACCATTAACTATTGTAAACTTCAATAATTCACATTAACTCATTTCCTAAAAGCTTTTTATTTAATTTCTTTGTTATCCGGCTCACACCTATTCCTCAGTATTTGCACTGACGTATGCGTAATTTGATATATGTTAGGCAACAAACATCAAGTATGCGACGCGTGGCACCATTAAAAAGGGGGATTGGGGCTCTTTATTGGTTAAACTCATTTGCTATAAAAACAGGTGACGTTCTATATTCCACGTTCCCTATTTATATCATTAATCTGAAGTGAAAGCCCTTGGAATTACCTTGAAAGTTAGACATTGAAAGAAATCGAGTAACCATACAATAATAATAAAAAAATTAAAATGTTTACAACTTTTTATGAAGTAGTTTTAATGTATTAATAATATTTTAAATAATGCCCTTTAAATATATTAGAATTTTAGATACGTTTCCTATTCACATGCAACATTAATTTATTTTAGTGGTTGTTATTTGAAGGCTAATTTTTTTACCATTCTGGACAAGACTAAGAAATCTAATTTAAATTGTTGTTAAAAATTAATATGATATAGAAATTTTATTCAAATTTTTTCCCAGTGCATGTGTCATGGCGTGTGTCGAATTTCGTGAGTGTGCCGCTAATGAACTGCCTGCCATATTGATGGCGGAAAATAAGCATGAAGGATGGCTAACAAAGGCATGCAATATTCGGAGGCAAGTGCATCGTGAAGCGGGACATCTGACAGGGCTAATTAGCGTTGGCCAACTTGCCATTTGCCATTTGGCATTTGGCAACTCCCCCACAAGAGCATGAGTCACAGCATCCCAGTTCCGTGACCTTGTTGAATGTCAGAGCCCAAGTTCCCCATGGTATTGTATTTTATCCTGGGCGCCAGGACCGCCTCCTGCTGTCAGCTGATATCCGGCTTAGGCTGTCAGGAAGCTTTCGCTGGGGGAACCGCTGTTTGTTTTCAATTTCCCAACATTTCAAGGCCTTTGCCTGGGCTTAATGAAACGGAAGAGTCGCCTCCGGGCCATGTTAGTGGCTCGTGTGTGAGCCTCGAACGATAAGCGGTCAAGGTGAGGGGGTGGCTAGTTGGTGGTGGTGCCTAGTTGGAGCGGATTCTACGCACCACTAACAACTTGTTGAGCACAGGATATATGCCAGTATCTGCCATCCCTAATGATTGTTTTTAGGTTACAGAGGTCATCAAGTAGGACAACTTGTTTATGTAACCAACAGGGTAACTTTAAACTAGTAAAAGGTACATATCTTTAACATTTCCATGTTATGTGCTTGTTAATTCCATAATAAGTTAAGGATAATTTTTGAGGAACCTTTAATATCATTACTATGATATATACATATACACCAAATTTGGTTCTTATTAACATTTTTTATATCTCTTTGTAAGTTCCTTAAATTATTGGTTGATTAAAGCAGACTTATAATAAAAGTCATTTATAAAAGAGTCAATATGTTTAAATTATAAGTATGTTAAACTTTATAGCAGATGTATAAGAGTATAATAAAGATAAGAGGAGTCAATTAATGAAATTAAAATTGAAAATAAAATTAATAAGTTATATCTAAATCACCTTCCTTACATTAAAATAATCAATATTGAAAGGTAATCATATTATAACCTCTTAAGTATAACTAGTCAATAAATTATGCTAAATGGTTTTGATTTCTAAAATAATAAAGTCGCATATCGACATGAGATAGACGATACCCCTAGCCCCATTTTCGTTAGCTGGCAAGGAATATGTTTTGAATGAAATGTGTTGGACTGAAGCCTCTTCGAACTGTATCCCTTCTCCAGCCAGGGCCACGCATTGTTTACTTCCTTGTCCCCGTTCAGATAGTGATTATGATGGATGCCCTTAGTGACGTTGACCCATTCTCGTATCGGCTGCAATGTTTACCTACTCGTAAAGCAGCCTTTGGGCCACTGCGCATGCTCACCAAAGGAACTCAAACTCCAGCTACCTCAATAAGGTTGCCATTGGCCCACTCCCCAGAATCCGAGGCAGATGGGATTCCCCCGAGGAAGGGAATGGGGCGTTTCTTGACCTTCCCGAAGGGATGCAAAAGGGATGTGTTTGGGACCACTCACCTGTAAATGCCAGTCACGCTGCAGGGACGACATTGCCGTCCTTTACTGAACGTAAAACGCCTTTGATGTTTCTCTTGTTGCTCGCGCTGTTGTTGTTGTTGCTTGGGGCGTTGCTGTTGTGCACCCAAATGCATTGGGTTGCCTCTGCTGTGGGTCCTTAAAATCCTGAAGAGCTGACGAACGCGGGCCTTCACCGGTTGGCCCAATTTGTATACTCTGCTGATGCGTCTGCCTCCCCGGCTCCTTTGGCACTGAATCCTTCGCGGTTTCGTTTTGATGAGGTTTTTGACTCTTTCGATTTTCGTATTTTTATCCTTTACTTTAAGGCTTCCTTGAGGAACTTGTAGGGGTTTTCCTTAGGGGCAATATCCCTGCTGTTCTGGCGTCATGATGCTTTAATAGGACAGACGGTTTCCCTTTTACTCGTGTTTTAATGCAGCAGCTGTTTCCGTTTCCGCTTCCTTGTCGCCCCTTTCCGGTTTCCTTTTTCAGCACAAGCGCACTCTCTCACTCACTCTTTGGCGAATATGCAGTTTTTGGAACAAATCGATACGGGGCCAGATTCCAGCTGAAGTCCTTTGTATTAAGTTTACCCGATCTCGCGCTCGAATTGGATGTTTAAAAATCAGTTGAGTGAATCGCAAATACGCCTTAAATATTCTAGAAGCTGCCAGCACTTTCTTTGAGTTGGGAAAACCCTTTGCAAAACCCTTTTTCCGTGAAAACTCTTCGTGTGTTGCCCTTTTCGGCGGATGCGACTTTTCTGCTGCTGCTCAAGCTCACGACTAAACGGATGATTCGGATGTCCTCTGGAGGTCCGTGGAAAACCCAACATATTTGTGGTGAGCTAGGTGGAGGTGGGTTTTCGTTTGGGGGAAGGAACATCTGGAGAAGGAGGACCTCTCCTCCTTCCGATGGTCCTTCATTCGTTTTGTTTTGCTAGGCTCTTTTGGCCGCTTGTTGCCTACAATGCCCCCGTTCCCGAAACCACCTACTATAATATCTGGCAACAGCTGATGAATGGGTTGCGTGCAATAGAAATTAAAGAAACACGTGGTTTCTCACCATTATAAATGGGTCCTTGAAATACAGACCATTTTTGTAATGGAACCTTCTCATTTGTATCAGTTTCAGAAGGCACTGAGTCATTTTGACCTTTTCATACATACGTGTTAAGTTTATTTTGTATTTCATAATAGCTTGAAATTTATGTTTTAAACTATTTTTTGAATTGTCTAGAAAATATATTCCAAAATATACAGGTATGTGAATCAAAGTGGGCTTCTGCCATTTTCTAAATTCTTATATGGTATACGTCAAAATTTTATTACACTACAATTTTGAAAAATAAATAAAGTACACGCGGAAAATTATAATACTTTGCAAAGCTAAGTGGCTGCATTTCTGCGATTTTCTTCCATAGTTTTGGTCGTGTGCAAAGAAATGCCAAGGAATATAAAGCTGATAGCCACTGATGTGAAGACGGCAGCTGGGAGATTCTTAAATAACGACTGCAGGATCATCGTGTATACGGCAATGGCCATGAGCAGCATGCACATGTACGGATAAACCAGCCACCTAATCACCTTTAGAGTAAAAAGAACCTGGTTTAATATTCTGCATTGAGTGGGCAGGAGCAGAAATACCTTCCAAACTCCTATAATAAGCAGAAGCGAGACCATCGCATAAGCGGCCGATCCAGTGGTCCACACAATCTTGACCGCCTGAGAAACTCCCGCCAAGCTGGTCATGAAAAGGTAGCCGGCAGTCACACCCGACACGAAGGATATGCAGGCCATTACGGAGACGACCACCCGGCTCGTCGGCAGAAGTCTTCTATATGTCAATTCGTGTTCGCTCATCTGGAATTTGTCCTTCCTCATTCATTTTTTTGATGTTTTTGGAGTCGGTATATTCGCTGTCATGCTGTTTCAAATTTTAAATGTATTGGTTTCAGATCTATAAATATTTATCATTTTGTCCCCTTGCTTAACTATTTTTTTATTTTTTCCTTGTTTTTCCTATAATTTTTAAACCAGCTAATGGACTCCTTGATTTTCAAACTTTGAGCGCGCTTTTATGTTTGCCAATCGGTTCTTATCGATTTGTTATACCACTATCGATTAAAGTCTGTAAGCGCTTGCGATTAGCTTTTAGTATTTATATTTTTTTACGCAGATTAATTTGCGCACAAGATTTCCAGACGTGATTAATGCTGATTTCTGGTCTGGGTTTTACCGGATTGCCAGTACTTGGAGTCGGAACCGGAGGACTACGATTCCGTACAGGGTTCCCGGTCGGAAGGGGACTACGAGCAGTTGGTGGTCCTGCAACCCGGAGAACTCTACCGAAGAAGGTTCCAATCCACCTGAATCACCATCCCCTAACTCCGATGACCTCTTAACACCGCACAAATAATGGATCCCTTGGTGTTCTTCGTAGTATTAGCTTCGCTCTACGGCGTTCTGTACTTCTTCGACCGCTTCTTCAAAGTAAGATCCATTGTAGCACTCGAAATATTTCCAAATACTTATGACCAATCCCTTAGAGCTGCATGCACTACCCGTACGATGCCTTCCTCAAGAACACCGGACTGAGTGTCAACTTCATGAGCCTCCACTGGCACACAAGTGCTTTCAATAGGACCCTTCTGCGTTGGGGATCCGCCGGAAACAGCTGCACCCGTAGAGTAATGCTCACCAGCTTCAATGTCGGTGTCCTAGTCACCTTTTCGTTGCTACCGGTTGGGCTCATCCTGCTCATTGCCACCATATTTAGTAGTGGCGAACAGGAAAGCTCTTCGTCTGCATCCTCTCCAGTTGGAGTGCCCGTGCAGTTGGAAATTCTGCTGCCCGGTGTCAACTTGCCGCTGGCGGAGATCGGCTACTACATCACCACCCTGGTGCTCTGTCTAGTGGTCCACGAGATGGGGCATGCCCTGGCAGCTGTGATGGAAGATGTGCCCGTCACCGGATTTGGTATTAAGGTAAGGATTGGGAAGGGAACCTCTTCTTTACTTCAGTTCATGCAAATATTAATATGATTAATCTCACCTCAGTTCATCTTTTGCCTGCCGTTGGCATACACGGAGCTCTCCCACGATCACCTAAACGGCCTGCGTTGGTTTCGCAAACTGCGCGTTTTGTGCGCCGGCATCTGGCACAACTTTGTGTTCGCCGGCGTGTGTTACCTCTTAATCTCAACGGTGGGCATTACCATGTCACCTCTGTACGCTTACAACCAGCATGTGGTGGTCACCGAATTAACCAGGAAATCTCCGTTGCGAGGGGAACGCGGCCTGCAAGTGGACAATCAAATCACCCAAATAAATGGCTGTCCGGTGGACAGCGAGGAAAGTTGGGTGACCTGCTTGCAGAACTCCCTAAAACTGAAGCCGGGCTACTGTGTGAGTGCGGACTTCGTGCAGCTAAACGACGAGAGCAGCGCCATTTCACATCATAGTATCGATGGACAGCTGCAGTGCTGCGATGAACTGAATCCCAATGTGAGCTGCTTCGAGGTGGTGGAGGATGTTAATGGTGATGTGCCCGTGGAGCTGCCGCAGCACGTATGCCTAAATGTGCGCCGCACTCTGGAGGAGGTAACGGAGCACTGTTCCTCAGGAGTCTGCAACGAGGGCTTTTGCCTGCGCCCGCTAATTCGAAATATCACTGCCATAATGACGTTTAAGCGGCAAAATTCAAGAGGAGAAAAGCTGCCGCCGGTGATTTATGTGGGTCATCCCTGGGATGTGACCCGAACCGTGGATGTCTCCGCCTTTGTGCCGAGATACTCCTTCTTGAAGGCAGCGTGGCCGGATGCCTGGCTGCTGCTACTCAAGTACAACGTTGTCTTCAGCATAGGATTGGCCCTGATTAATGCCATTCCCTGCTTCGGCTTCGATGGCGCCCACATCACCAGCACCGTGATACACAGCTTCTTGGTGGGCCGAGTGGACCAGCATGCCAAGAGGGATCTCATCTCGGTGATCATCACCAGCGTGGGCTCTCTGCTCTTTGGACTGGCCCTGCTTAAGGTGGCCTGGCTAAGTTTCCTGCGACCTCTGCTTTAAAACTGATACTGATAACTGATAGATGGAACCTGGGAGTCCAACTCCCTCCAAAGACGCTAGACTGCTATTTCACCTCCACGAAACACAAGAAAACACAGCGAATTGTAGCACATCAAAGATTCGAAAGCTTTTGTCTTAGTCCGTAGTCCTAACTCGTATTTATTTTCGTACGGTTGTCGAGCTCAAAAATAAAATCAAATTAAGCTAAGATTGTTCCTATTTGCCCTCGCTTACTCCGCTCAACTGGAGGCTGGTCCTTAGTTCTGTGAGGCTGCGCCTGCCATGCTGGATGAGCATCTTAATGGCAACCTCGTCAGTTTGGTGGCGATTCGTCTCGAAGTCGTGTCGTGCCCAGGATCGCAGCTCCAACTGGCTGTTTTTGTCGGGAACTTGGCGGATGGTGCGAAAGATTTCCCGGTAGAGCTTCAGGACCTCTTGGCGCAGCATAAACTTTGGATAAAATAGATAAATTGATAAAATCAGGTTCTAGTTTACAAATAAATTTATTGATTTTTGTTTAACTGATTTAACGACCAAGCAAATCGCTTTTTCAAAACCTTTTGCAATCTGCTTACCTGCTTTAAACCAAGTGCTGCTTTTGGTATCTTGGTCATTTTAGTTTCAATAAGATTTATTGCTAGTTATTTGTTGATTAAATTTCTTAGTTGTTTTAATATTTTTTTAGATTTCTTTTCATTTTCCAAAACAATCTGTTATCATTTCGGGAGAACCAAAATAAAAACAGCTGATGATTACCAGCTGTTAGGATTTTAGAGATGGGATTTTTTTTAGAGCCTGCACTCAAGAAACGATAGTTTTCAAAGTTTAAATAAGACGTTACAATTTAAAATTACAATTAGATTATTTGTTTCCATCTCTTATCCATTCCTAATATTTAAATTCACATGTATTATTTTAACGTTTGATATAAAACATATATAGGAAAATATATTTTTCTTTTCCTGTCTCTTTAAAACTTCTTTGTAACCGAAAACGAGTAAAATAAGCATGACAGTTTCTCGAAAATAGGTTTTTTTTAAATTTTTGAACACATAATTTCTTATCATTTAAAACTACAATTAAAATTGTAGGCCTTGTTCTTATATTGTGTTACATATTACTGTGCCAATTTTAATGCACACAATTTATAAGACATTTGTCTTATCTTTAAGACTAAAATATAGCTGCACTTAAAGTGATCTACTTTTCTCAGGTTAGGGTGGGGAAACAATGTGTAGCCAAAAGTCAACGGCAATTAATGTTTAAATTGCAATTTTCATCAACTGTCACTAATGAGTCAGTCGCAGAAATAAAATAAATTGTTGTAATGTCTTAACAAACTTATGTTTTTGCGCATTGATGCGGCGTGGGAACGAAGGAAGTGACATCCAACACTAAATTTATCTGGCTCGTGTTCAATTTAAATTAAATTCACGGCATTAAATGCCACATTTGTCTACATGAACACATATCTTGATTGGCATGCCAGCTGCTCTGCCTCTGTTTCGTCTCTGATTATGATGTTCTACTTAAGCAATTCGATTGTTCCCTCGGTCATTCTGGTTATTTAACGACAAGAACCATAGTCGCAAAGGGACTGGCACTATCCGCTGATAGTTGGTACTTGGCGTCGGCTAGTGGTAAGTTCTCCCCCAAGTACCGGGCTTATTGATGGAATTGCCAACTGTTTTTTAGATTCGGAGCCATGGTCACGTCCAGTTACCAACAACTCTGTTGGCCAGCAGTTGGGCCCTGTAGAGGGAGTGTGATTCAACCAGGTTAGAAATTGTTACACTTTAGTGATAGAATGAGATATAGTATTTTATTGCACTGAGATGTTATATTAATTCTTGTTAATAATATAATATTTAAATAATTAGGTTTTTGAAAAAGTTATTGTTATCCAATAAAATGCTATAATACATTAAAAACATACCTTACTCTTATCATAAGGATATTACAACATTCCTATAATGAAGTAGGCAACATAACATTTTGATGATATCACAATGATTTTTAAAAATTATATAATATTATCTTCTTGAAAAATCAGAGAAAATAGCCCAATATTGATTAAGAATAGCGAATATATCAAATTCGATATTATTTATCCTCGATGCACCTATACATACTCGAATACGACCTTTCAGGCTGTCAAAATGCATTTTCGCCTCGCGTTACTTAAGTTGCTCCCCATTAATTTCCCATAGCCATTTCTCTGATCTCTGCCCAAGTGCGTTTGTCTCCGCCGGCACAAGTATTTTGTGCAAATTAAAACAAAAATTGGACATAACATAAATATCCGAGGCAGAACAAAACGAAGGCAGGTGAAGCGGTGCGATTTATTTTTAACTGCCCAATGCTTCTACATATAGGAAATTATGCAAAAGAATCTCGCGCTGCAGCCGAGTGCAATTTCGTTTTCGTTTTCATCTGCCAGAGATGCCAGCGTCTGCGCCGCTCTCTTGAGTCATTGCACTGCGAGAAAAGAGCTTCACATATACACTGGTCGGCATATGTATTTTGACAAAATAAAAGTTAAGTATACTCATAACTTGAATTTACTTCTTGTAAACTATAGGCATCAATGGAAAGGTAATTTCAATGCCGTTTGAATGATACAATACATTTCTTTACCCATTCAGTACTTATTGAAAAGGACAAATTTGTGTAAATCAACTTTTAAATTTTTTTTTCAAACTTTTTTCCTCGACTTGAAAACTTAAACTTTTTGATGCAAAAAGTTTCTTCAAACAAAAACAATAGTAACTGCAAAAAGAATTTTTCAAAAATCATTTTCCTTATATTTTTTATGATTTTTTGAAGGTGACAATGTCGGAAAAAATTTGTATGAAAAAGAGAAAAATATGGCTCAAATGCCTGTTTTTAAGCATTTTCAAAAATTCATAAAAAATATAAGAAAAATGATTTTTGAAAAATTCTTTTTGCAGTTACTATTGTTTTTGTTTGAAGAAACTTTTTGCATCAAAAAATTTAAGTTTTCAAGACGAGGAAAAAAGTTTGAAAAAAAAATTTAAAAGTTGATTTACACAAATTTGTCCTTTTCAATAAGTACTGAATGGGTAAAGAAATGTATTGTATCATTCAAACGGCATTGAAATTACCTTTCCATTGATGCCTTTAGTTTACAAGAAGTAAATTCAAGTTATGAGTATACTTAACTTTTATTTTGTCAAAATACATATGCCGACCACTGTATAAGTTTAAAAATATTTAATCGGGTTTGAAGAACGATTTCCTCAGTAGAAAAAAAAGTTTAATTTATCCAGAAATTTTTCCTGCATTTTGAGATATGGTCAATCTAGGTGCAATTTGTATAAAAATGATGAACAATTACTTATTTGATGAATAATTACTTATTTTCTAATTTTTTTAAGCATAACAATTTCCCCATCCCAAAGTATGACATATCTAGAACTTTCAGAAACATTAATAAAATAAAAATAAGTAATTTTTTTCCGATTTCTTAACTATAACTTGGTTTTAGTACAAAGGCAATCGAACATTTTACATCTCAAATAATGTGTTTTAAAATTAAAATAAATATATAGGTATTTAATAGTTTTTAAAGTGGTTTTCACATGAAGTATATGTTATTTTAATAAAGCTCAATTTTTATAGAAGTAAGTATCTCTAGTTATTAAAAACATTTTAATTAAGAGTGAATGAGTAATCTAACGTAATGAATACTACGTATACATTTATTTTACATATTTTATTACATCTCCCAAGTTCTGTAATTCAGTAATTCATGGCATATTTTTCCCAGTGTGGCTGCCGGCTTGGAAGCGAAGGGGGTGGCACTACGTCATCAAAATCGGACCCACAGCTGCGCCACAACGATGACGAAGAAACGAAGGCAACAACACCGAGGCAGCGACTGAGCAGCGGAGCAGCAGAAGCAGAAAAGCAAGTAAAATCCACATGCCAGCGGAGTGCTGCCTCAAATGTTCATGAAACGCGGACGCGTGTGGACGTCGTTTTGCGCGGTACCCGCTTCGAAAACAGTTTGAAAATCCGAAACGGTTCTGTTCGATTTGATCGGATTGTTTGGTTGATTCGAAACGAATTCTCGGGCCGTGCATGTGTGAAAGTGAAAACGAAATTAAGAATCAAAATGAGCACGGTGCATGAGTTTCCTTGACGTTCGCTTCGGAAAATCCATCTCAAGAAAACTGAAAGAGCGTGCGAAAGCAGAAAGGCCAATTGTGAGTGAGAGCTGAAAAACACACACGCCAAAAATATAATGTTGAAAATATCTGGCTATTTTTGGAATATATATTTGTTTTTCCCACACGCTGCATTGGAAACTTTGTACCACAAGTGAAGCAACACACAAAAAACCTCGAGAAATGATAATGCTTAAAAAATGCGAGATATACTTACGCTTTAATTGATCTTGCATTTTGTTTTCAAAAACTTTTCAAAAACAAAACAAAGCCATCTGAAAAAATAAGAATACAAAAAACGAAAGACGAGAATCCAAGGCGAAAGAACAGCCAAAGTGAAATGTTTTTAATGGGCAATCAGAAATGATGAAGATCGGGTAGATATATCGGGTAGAACGAGGAAAGAACGCATTAAGGCTGTACAATGGCGATACTTTAATGATCTTGGAGGGATCTATAGCTACAACCAGAGTGTATATCAAGATTTAGTACATTTCCGGAAATACCCATTGCTCAATTTTGGATACACAAAAATATTCCCTTCAGATTCCGATTACTTTCCTTTTAGCTGCACAGAAATAAATGGGGCATTCACATTTTCCAAGTGATTTAAATAAAGTTAAAATATTATATTGAATATAAGTTCAATATATGTAAATGTTTTTTTTATATTTTTTTAAAACAATTTTAATATAAATTTCATATTTTTAAATCCAATGATAATTTTGCTATGTGATTTAAATATAATTATTCGATATTCACGAAAGGTTCGAGCTGAGGCTCAAATACCGCCGCTGCTTAGCAATTTTTTTTTATATAATTTAGTTGAAATTCGAAAACCAACTATCATCATTATCAACTTTTTTTCTGTGTGGCAAAGTTTTTGTCTTTTTCTGTCCGATTTCCTCCGAAACAACAACAAATTCAGGCATTATGTATATATCCTCAGTGTTGTTGTGCTTTGGTGCTTTGTATTTTGTATCTGAATTCGAATTTGTAGTCTTGTGTCATGCGATAGGTGGTAACGTTTCGTTTCGTACGGGGTATTGAATTACAAGACACCAAAGTGCGCGCCAAGCGAACACGCTCGCTCACAGATACCCACGAATACATGTACAGCGAGGTGTATAAATATATCGCAGTCCGATTCTGAAGCATGCGTATCCAATGGATGCGAATCGGCCTGCAAAGCGGAGGGCCCAAGAATATATCCGAACTGAGGAGTATCCGAAAAGAACTGTGAACCGGTGTAATTAATTGTTTTGGGGCCGAACAGTATTCGGTGATTGATGTAGCCAAAGTTCATTTGTTTACAGTGGCAAGATCAATGACTCGGCGCGCCCTATAAATACATACATCCCCCCAAAAAAAACCTAAGCTAAAACCCCAAGTGACCCCTGGCCTCTCTTGTGTTCCAGTTTCACCCAAAAGGAATATTAAATATCCAGTCGAAATGTCCGCTAAGACGTCCCCATCGTCCACTTCTCGAGATGCCAACGTGGGATCCTCTAGTGCGATTCCCGTTCAGATCAAGAAAGAACTGCCCAGCGACGAGATAAAGGTGAGTCTTGTGAATGAATACTTTGAGATACTTTCTTGCCTTCTAATTAATTGCCCCTGTCTGCACATCATGCCGCCGAGTATTCAATAACAAGGATGCTGACAAAGTATGGAAGCCAAAGAGAGCGTTGAATTTAAAAATAAAGAACGATTTTTTCTCTCTCTCTCTCTTGTCAAAATTTGTATCTTGAATTGCGGCGAATTTCATATACTTTGAATTATTGTTATTTGTTTTTGTGTTTAGATGGGGGAAAGGTGAATAACACCCACTCGCCATTTGCGTCTCTATATTATAACCCAGTGAGAGGAAATTGGCAATTTATTTAACCACAAAAAAAATTACAATGTGTAATAAAAATATTTTGCATAATAATTTTCTATTTGGCCAAACTTTTAAAGGGAATTTTCATTGATTTGCTATAACTTGATTTCGGTTTTAAAAGTGGATTGGTGAAAAACACCCACTTGCAGTTTCCTTACGGCAATAAATTCGCCTTGAGGCAGATTACTGCCTTACCAGGTAACTTGTTTAATCAATTAAAAGTATATATTTAAAATAAATGTTGTCACTTTGAAATGCAAAGGATCCAACTAAACATGCATGCCTTGTTTGAATACTGCCCCTTCCACACAGTAAAATACCTTTGCATCATATCTCATATCCCAATTATTTCATAAATTCGAATCGTGAAATATTTGGGGATGCGCCCTCCTCATATTTAGTTTCCATTTACAACAAGCGATTCCAATCATAGAAGCATTTCCAACTAATCGGAAAAAACGAGTCGTTTTTAAAATGCCTGGCCAAAACAAAAAAATGTTTTTAAAAATACACAAAAACTTGAAATAACAATATTTTGCATATTTATTTTCAATAATCGAGCTATTTGTTTGAACCTTTAATGGACATTTTTATTTTGATTATATTTTGTTTAAAATTATTAAAATTATATTTCTTAAATAAAGAAAACACAATTTTTTGAGTGACTGTAAGTTTGCAATCAAAACTGAAAGGATCTAATAATGCATTCCACCGAATACTCCCCGTTTCACAGTAATATACCTTTGCATCACACCCCATATTCCAATTAGTCCATAAAAACGAATCGTGAAATATTTGGGGAACTGCATGTTGCACATAATTAGTTTCCATTTACAAGCGAGCAAATCCAGATAAACGAGCCAAACGAGTACTTCCAACTAAGCACTGAAATCAAAGAATCGGATTCGAAATGCCGAGGCCACAGAACCAAAAATCGTTTCGGCTTTCAGTTTGCTGTTGGGGTATTTGGTACTTTTAAATGTTTATGCAATGGCAATGATAATACAACACCCCCGCTGCACAAAATTCCTTGCAACTTTGTTTCGGACCGGGTCCGGAATTTTGTAAGAGGAGTTGCCGGTTGCAGCTGAGGAGATTCAGATTGCGATTGTGATTACGCGATTACGGGCCGTAAGTCGAGCGGGAGTTGGCGGTAATACTATATTGATAAATTTTTATAATCATTTTAACGAGTGAACGAGCGGGTCCGATTCCGATTCCGCCCCCCTCAAACTCTTCTCTTCGCCCCCCGTCCTGGCCATCCGCATTTGCTTTATCCGCCAAATGAGCAAAATTAATTTAATGCCACAGACAGGGACAGGGAGTCCCGTCCCAGAGCAACATTTTTGCAGCACGTGTAACCCGATCGGCGAATTGAAATTATACCCCTTGACTTGCAGTTGGGCGCAATGATACTTATTGTCGGGCATAAAGAGGGAAAAACAAAAACAAAAGCGACGGCGGCAGCAAAACCAAAATTATTATAATGAATGAGCTGGTCGGGGGCTTGGGAACCGAGTATCCGCTGGGGACTGAGGTTGGCGACTGGTTTTCTAGGTAAACGTGGGATTTATGTGGATATCTATATAGTTGTTCATGTCTGTCGTACGACATTTGTACTGCAATTGCGAGCTTGAGGCTTGAATTGGTCCCTGACACACTAATATATTTAATGCATAACAGGGTCTTAAATATTTTATTGTAATTATTGGATAAATACCATGCAAATCTAAGATCTGTGTTGGATTTCTAGTTTAGTATTAATGAGTGCAGTGAAAAATCTATAATAAATTAATTCAAATTTTGTATTATATCTTTTTGTACATTTATCACGTAAATAATTTAAGGAATTCTTTAAAATTCCCAGCTTTGTATTTAGTTTTACTGTTCCCGGAATTAATACTGTTCTATATCACTTACTCGTCTCTTTTTTGCCTTGTCGTGAAATTTCCTTTCACTCGGCTTCTCAATGTCGCTCAACCGCCTTTGAGTATGCAACACTTTGCTGGCTAAAAATATCAATTAAAAATATTGTAATTCATACCTTCCATTTTTGCTTACCTCACCCAGTTTCGGGTTCGTTTTCAGACTTTTAGCCTCCCCGCCAGCTCCCTGGCCATAATTACAAGCTGCATTTGCTGCAAAGACAGCAACCAGGACAAATTTTTACATTTAATGGCCCGAAGGCAGAAACACACAGAGCGTAATTAAACAACAGCAATAAATCGGTTGAGGGTTAGGGCTAAGGTATAAGGTATAAGGTATAAGGTATAAGGTATAAGGGGAGCAACACGAGCGCCCTTCATGGGTGCAATTTGATAGGACTGTGGTAAGGCGATATCCTTCAAGGTTTTCGCTTTGCGACCGATGTCAAGCTGAGGCTGAGACTGAGGCTGGGCCATATATATCTATCGAAACGGATGTCTTCGAGGCACACACTAGGCATTATCCTGGGAAGCAAATCAATAACTCTTTGTGGGCGGAATGTGGGAAAAACATGGTAAACAAAGTCCAGTGTTCTATATTATTTTATGGGAATTAATTATGATTTATCCTATACCACAAATCTAAATATATTTACTTATTTTTCTACATGCACTACTGGGATTTAAGAACTCATCAAAATAATCAATTGTAATATTTATTTAGAATTTGTTAACGATACTTGTTGCAGTTTCTAACCTTTTCTGTTTCTCTTTAACGCTGCAATTAGCCCCTTGAATAATTTTTGATTAAGTGCACTACTATGTTTGTTGCACATCTTGGCATTCTGCAGCCATTGATGTAGTCATATAATATTCATCGCCTACGAATCGCCACCGTGCTAAGTGATGGCAGACTCCAAGCAACATTCTATGCATATAATCCAGGGTTCCGACAGTGGGGATTGGGTTACACTCGCACAACCGGGTGTACACAGTACACGGATCGGATCGGGGAGACTGCGAGGGGCCAGTTGACAATGACGATGACGATGACACAATGACTGGCAGCCACTCAGGAGGACAAGGGGCATAGGGGGGTTTTGGGGCAGCGGTGGCAACTGGGCTCAAATGTCGCCGCAGCAGCAGAACTTTAATAACAGCGCCGCAGATTGAGTTACAAACAAAATAGAATATGATAAATTCTACACAAAACACCAGGAACCAGAGCTCAAAGGTGCGACGTGGGGGGGTTTCGAGGGGGGGAGTTATCAAAGGAGGTATCGTATAGTGTTGCAGGGCTCCCTGCCACATGCAACATGCCCTTCACCCACTCCCACCCCCGAAACAGCAGCTCAAATTAAAATAGCGTTAAATTAATTCGAGCCACTGCCGATGGCCCGGCATTACGAAAGCGAACCCGAGTGGCCAGGAGGCAATGTGGATGGCAGGATCCGGATGGATATGGATGGATGAATGGGTGGCTCAAGGCCCTTGACTCTGCCAGGTGGCAGGTGCCTCGAAATGCAGCAGGTGAAGAGATCGATGTTCGTGGGGGCCGATATGCAGTTTCCTAATTTTCACAGTGATTAAATCATTTGATTTAACTCTAAGCAGATCATGAGAAATGTTACTATTTTCAGACATTGGAGAAATTATAATGATATAGAAGTATATAAGTATACCTGCTTACTTCGTTTTTGATCCTAACGTGTGGTATTTGCGAAATATTTAATGTTTTGAACGATATCTTCGAGAGTTTGTTATCAATTATAATTGCTATTCAGCAAATATTAGTAATGATAGTAAAGAAAATCCGCTTAAAATATTTTGATAAATGTCTTAAGTACTAAAAAGTTATAATGAACACTTCCTTAAAGGTAACATTTTATTTTTTATAAATATTTAAGTCATAAATTAAGATTGAGGGCTTAAATGTGTTACCAAATTCTGGTGTTGATCATACAAAAATTGGAATTAGGCAAGGTATATCCCAAAAAAATCCTTCTGACCTACCGCACACAATAAAAATAGTGAATATACTAGCAAGCCCTTAGGTATTTCATTCTGTAACCCTCCTCTTGAGTGCTTTGAGTTCATACATGTACATATATCTCCGTCTGAACGGTGAGCCACCCATATCTGGTGTACATTAAAATGAAATAGAATATATCAGGGGGTTGGGAACTGAAAATTCGCAGAGCAAAAGCAACAAACGGCAAAGGCCAAGTGTGTCATGTAAGAATTCAAAAGAAGGACGCGCGTCATTCAATCCTGAGCTATCGATATTCGATTACAGCAAACTAAAAACCGACTGACTCTGTGCACGAGTCTGAGAAAACTAGCGTAATTCTAGAATTTGTTGCCATTGGGTGTTGTTTCCACCGCCCGACCATATACATATACTCTTTCGGGGTGGCGTTCGAGGGGCCTCGGATTGGATTCGGTCCGGACACCAGCTCTGCTGCAGCTCGGTTTTAGTTCGCCTTAGTCTCAGTTCAGTTTACTGGGTTCAGGGTGAGTTATTATAAGCGTATTGGGTTGCCCATCCCGCTCCTCCAGCCCCCCAGTCTGGGTCTCGTTGCTTTGGCACTGCCAGCATTGCCGCGTCGTGTACTTTACATTATTCTATTAGGTTTCCTCGCCGGTAACCCTAGACGTGTATTAATGCGAGCCACTCGCATAACAGGCGGCTCCACTGCAGCGGGATGAGCCCCCTTGGATGTCTTCGGATGGGTTCGGAAGTAGGTCAGGAAAACGAAATCAATTTCGATCGATAGGTATAGTGGGGAATACTTTTAATCAGTTACCGGAGGATGGTATATAGCCTTTAGAGATCTCAACTTACTATTTTCCTTAGAATGAATAACTATACTGAAATATAATTGTTTTCAGAAAGGTTTAATAAGATATATCATAATAAGATATATTTAATCGATTATATGTACAACATTGCCGATCTTACAATGGCTCTGAAAGGTGTATCTAAGTTATTTAGATGGCTTAACAAAAAAGAGTTTGAGGGTAACCCTATCCTATCAGACATAACATTATTTCTCCCAGTGCATTCAATGCCAGACAAAGAACGAACTTGGCTGTCGACTTGGAGTTCTCAGTTCCCGCTACTCACCCGTCAAGTTGGTTCATTACGATTCATAATAAAAAGGGTAATACGATATGTTTTTGTAAGTTGAGATTTTGCGAAATGAAAGAAAACACAACCAACTTGGAACAGTCAGATAGAGAACGTGAATTGCAAATGTATCCACTGGATTCTTGGGCAATAATTACGAAAAAGCAAAATGAAAATGAAAAGCCAACCATGAATCTGAAGAGATCTTATTGCTTGGCGGGCGGGGAAAGAGGGGAAATTCGAATTGGAAATGTAAAGGTAGACGTGTGTGTTTGTATACTTCTTAATACATACTACTTTCATACATACCACTGGACTGGCAGAGCGAATCAGATCCCAACTCCATCAACAACAACAGACGGCATACAATTTCAGTTTTTAATTAATTGATTTTTATTCGCATTTCGGTGTAGAGTTTCAAGCATGGGCGCGAGTTTGAATGTCGCTGGCGGAGAAGGCACTGAAAAAAACTACAAAACAAAACAAAATTGTATCATAGCAAAAGTAATTTAAATAAGAACATTAATTTTTTAGCCATCAATGTGTTAAAGTTAAAATATCGTTGAAATAAATCTGCGAGACCAAACAGCTTAACAAAAAGGTAAGTTGGTAACTGAAATTGAATAATATTTTTATACCCTCTCGTTTCTGATCCCTAAAATGATATATGTATATATTCTTGAAAAGTATCGATCTTGTCTTGTCCGCCTGTCTGTCCGTATTTTTCTTTGTCTGTCCGTATGAACGCAGAGCTCTAAGAAGCTAGAAAGTATGACACTAAAATTTACTTTCAATTTAAAAGTGGGAATCAATATAAATATGTATATTTTTGTAAATGATAATGTAATAATTATGATATTATTATAATATTATTTAATTATTATAATAATATTTTTTCCTGTGCATGTCCCCACTTGTCCGACCTCTCTGGTCTCCTCCACGAACCCGTTGAGCCACTGTCAGGCAGCAGAGAGCTGAAAAACTGAACGAACGCACAAATCAGAAATTAAAAACCGAACATAAATTAACAGACAAATGATACTAAAAACCGAGCTGCCGAAAGAGACGGCGCATGGGATAATGAGAGAGACGGAGGGAGTGGAGTCGTATCTCCAGCTCTGTTCCTCCATTCCTCCGGTTACGGTTACTGCAAGATGCTGAACTTGAGCCGAGCGTGCGTCGCCATAACCCCCATACCCCCCTATAGAGATATATATATCCATCCCACCTGGACGAGGTCGCACCTGAGGCGTGTAATTGATACGCTCAGGCAGCCGTCTCCGGAGATTTTATCGTGCGAATTGTTAATACTCTTTTCGCTTCTCGCAGTTCGCAGCCACAGACAGCGAAAACCTGAATGCGAATGCGATTGTCACCGATACGCGAATTGCAGGAAAATAACCAAGCGAGCGTGTGAGCGCTGTTCATGGAGTGCGAAAGAAAGAGGTGCCCAAGTGCGAAAGAGATGGTCTTGGCGGTGCGAAAGAGAGGCACGGAGGGGGTCCGATAGAGACGGCGACTTATTAGACGACTTGCATTTGTCAGCAAGTTGGCAGCAACGCTTAATTTGAAGAGTATCGGGTGACGCCGGGGATATCCAGTTTGTCTGGAGCTCGTGATAGATGCAATGAAGGCGATGAATCATCTGGCCAGCATTGGCCAATTGTGGCTTTGGCTTTGGCTTGCTCACGCGGACCATTTTCCCCTGAATCTCAGCACTGGACACCAATTGTGGTCACATGGCGTATGAGCAATTTGGCTTTCTGCAGAAGCAGATATCTACGGGAAAAGTAACCCAAAAGGGCTACAGAGAAAGAAAACACCATACGTATATCTGTTTAAACGATAGTGTCATTTTTAGTGCATAATATGTATGGTATCATCTTCCTAATGATATATGAAAATGTTTATAATAACACAGAGAAAAATATACAAGTACATTGTTCTTGATTTAAGAACATTCGTTCTTAAAAACCATGTAAGTATCAACAATCTGAATATTAGAACGAAATGTTGAGAAGAGAAAACTTAAAATGAGTCTATTTAACAACTTTTCTAAGTATACACTACTGACTGGATTATTAGTTTAGTTGTTGAGATATACAATAAACATACCGCCAATTTATCTTGATTTAAATACAAAAAAAACATTTCCATCTTCAAAAATTTTGTTGTTTTTTAAAGAATTTTCTCTGTGAAGATTTAAATTGAAACATAAGATCGAAGATATGTTTCTATAAAAGTAATAAAAGGAAATCATTCAATCTTTAAAATTCCATCAGTTGTTTGTGTTTTTTCTTAGCTTTTGTAAATATTATTATCTGCTTACCCTTTTTAACCCCGCCACTGACTAAAGACTTTGTGCAGTAAAACCACGTTAAATTTGAGAATTTCAATGTAACCTGATCCCGAGTTTGTGCAGCTCTCACAGCCTTGTGTGAAATTCGTATGTGCAGCACAGGCAGGCACAGAAAGATACATATGTACGTATATCTCCCTTGGGATTGGAATGGAAATGGGAATGCAAGAGCCAGAAAAGAACAGCTTCAAAAGCCGCAAATGCTTTCTGCATCTTGGACCTCAGGACGGAGGCTGAATTTTCGGCTTAAATTTAAAGCAAAGAGGCAGAAGACACACGCAAAGCGGCAGAGCTTGTCCGGGGGTATTGGGTATCAATGTCAGTGCAGGCAGAATCAAAACAAGGGGCGGAGATACAAGGGGGGAGGTGCCCATACCCTTGCAAAGGAAATATGCAAATGCCACCCACTCGGGCCCCCCGAAAAAGCCAAATAGACCGGCCCTCTGGCCGTAATGAAGCGCTCTGTTACCTGTTTGTGAGGCGATATGTTTGTGGAAAATCGGTTGTGTGAGGTGTTTGATGCGTGGCTTTATCCCCCAGAGTTATCGATTACCCTGCAACTTTGCGGGCCTCGGGGAAAATGCTTTGATACGGTTAGATAAGGACTCGCATAATTGGACCTTGAGATCAGAGGTCAACGGGCAAGGGAATCTACAATTAGTGAAAGTATCGTTGGCTTTGGTGATTCTGTTCTTGGTCTCTACCCCTTATGCATCCATTGGCCCCTGTTTCAAAACCAGTAGTTCGCCGCAACTTTACACCTGCCAGGCTGGGCATTACTCCAAGTTTGAGCTGCTAGTTAGTACACGCTGAAAAATACAAATAATTAAATACTATAATAAGATATACCATATAAAAACAATTAATTTGGTATATCCCTGTTATAAAATATATTAAACCAAAGATTTAAAGGACTGAAGGGTGGAAAACAACAACTGGCAACTACTATTGGTCATATAGTGAAAACGAAATTCTGAAAATAAACTAAAATAGATGGGAAGTATGTTTAAATCTGATAGAATTACTTTCTAAGACTGCATTACCCAAAATGCTACGGAATTTATCTACGGGAATGTCTGATGTGAATCCACTTCCCCATAACTCATCCTCCTCTGTTTCTCTGCTCCTTCCAGGAATTCGCGCACAACACCATGAACGAGCTGCTCGGCTGGTATGGATTCGAGGGTGTGGATGTGGATCGTCTCGACCTGACAGCCAAGACATCGCGCCTGCTGCAGAGTGCCGCTGCCGCCGCGGTGGCCAGCCAACAGCAGCAGCACCACCAGAGTCACCAGAACCACCAGCACCACCAGATGGAGCAGCATCCCAGTCTGGAGAGGAAGCGGGGCAGTCTGTTGCGCAGTAGTCGCAGTTCTTTGGCGGCAGCCTATCACAATAACAACAATAATGCCAGCAGCAACAAGAACAATGGTGGAGTCGGCGGGGGCGGTACGAGCGGTGGGAGTGGCCGGAAGGGCGGTCTGCTGAACTGCAGTAGCACCACCACCACGCCCTCGGACCACGACACTCGCAGCTCTCGGGAGGAGGACTCCAAGAGTCCGCACTCCATCGGGAAACCAGCGGGAGTACCGCAGACGGAGGAGAAAATAGGTGCGTATGCCGTAGATGCGAATATCAGAATATACTAGACCTTATATAAATGATCTTCAAATAAATTTTTATTGTTAATCATTTTTTATTTTGTAAAAAATATATATCATATTACTAGCTGAGTCGATATCCGCATGTCCGTAAATCTGTCCGCCAGTATTCCGAAAACTTGAGTTGGGATAAAGGACACAGATTCTTATAACTCTATAGTCTATCTATCGCTCATATTTTATAAAATTTTGTTTCGTAAACTTTAATTGATTTTATAGATCAATACCTACCTGCATTCATATTATCATACCAATCGCAATATTATTTAAAACGTTATGAGTAGTTATATTTCGGCGTGCCGCGCTTAAAGATATGCCATGGAATGGTATATTAAAAATAGTCAATAGACAAAACACTGCTTCTTGTTTTAAAGTTTGCTAAGTAACGGGTATCTGATAGTCGAGGCACTCGACAATTTCGTTCTTCCTTGCTTTCAGTATAAACCAAGAAATTTATATAGGATTGATTCTTTTAGAATTTCATGAAAATCGTTCCCTTTAACAGCACGCCAATAAAGTGAGAAAGTACAAAAATGTATATTGTATTTTATATTATTTTTTTTTTTGGGCATGGTAAAACTAAATAACCAAAATTAAAGTCATGGTGCAATGGGTAACTCGAGCCTAGAGAGCAACCGAAAATTGACAGCCAAAGTCAAAATCAAAAATTTGTAACCGACCTAAAAACCTCCCTAGCCTAGCCACAACCCACTCACAATCTGCTTGCTTTTGGGGGCTTTTGTTTTTTGAACGGAATTCGATAACTTGGACTTTTATCCCTCCAATCCTTCAGTGCATTCGGAGCCACAGACAGGCTCGACGAAACTGTGCTAACTTTTCATCAACTCCTGCCGGAGTTTTCCGATGCCTGCATTATCGAATAACAGATTCATTAAGAGCCAAATATGGTTTACACATTTTTGGCCAGCAGGGAGCAGGAAGTGCCGGGCATATTAGGAATAGGATATCCAGAGCTCAGTTTGTATGGCAGCCGGAGGAAATCCAATTTGCAATTCGGTAGGAATTAATTTTCGTACTGATAGTACTTTTATGATTTCAAATTGTGGCATGTTTTGTTTAATTCATGGCTGGCAGGCTATGCGTTTGAATTACACGAAACACTTTTATAATTTTAGCTGGATATACTTTAAAAGGCTTGTAGGGTTTTCAAAAAAAGAAAATCTTTTTATTTTGTACTTGTATAAATTACTTTAAGCAGTCTAGATTACACGCCCAAAACTTTAATTTAATTGGACCTAAAGTTCAGGAGAGAAAGGAGTTCGAAGTTAGCACTTACACCGGGTTTTCCTCGAAACCATTTCTTGGAAACAGGTGAAAACATAACCTCAAAAAGTTATGAACGTTTTAAAATTTGTTAAACATATTCAGCATATTAACATAAGAATACTAACATAATTATATATAATATTTGAGAGAACAATTTTACGTATTTTTATGATTTACATATTTTAGTGGTTCTTAAAAAGTAGTAGATTTTGAGGCTCACTTTAATTTTTTGATGATCCTGTACCCAGTTTTGATATCCAAGATTTTTCGGAGCCTAAGAAAAAATGGTTTCAACTGGATAGTCTTCAGTATTTTTGATTGCGGTTTATTGTTATTTATTAATATTGTGTCCCCTGCAAACCCGTTAAAAAATGTTTATTTATTATTTTTAATTTATTTATTTAAAAAATATACATTGTCTCAGATTACTCATCATAAAATCTCTTGTCTCCTCCACAGACTTCAGCAACTGCTGCTGGTGCCATCGACCGATCGCGGAGAATGCGCCGGATTACCTGACCAGTTGCGACGGACCGCGATACTGCTCCGAATCCTGCTTCGCCCAGAGCCGGAGGGCGTCCTTCAAGAAGGCCAAGACCTGCGACTGGTGCAAGCACGTCCGCCACGCGGTGAGCTACGTGGACTTCCAGGATGGCGCCTCCCAGCTGCAGTTCTGCTCGGAGAAGTGCCTCAACCAGTACAAGATGCAGATATTCTGCCACGAGACGCAGGCCCACCTCGACATGCATCCGCACCTGAGGGATCAGGCTCTGGACGCGGGCAGCGAGGCAGGTCTGATTACGCCGGACCTGTGGCTCCGCAACTGCAGGAGTCGCTCGGCCTCGCCCGCTTCCACGCTATCGGTGTCTCCGGGTCCACCTGCCATCCCAGCGGCGCCCAGTCGCTGCCCAGACTCGCCACCTAGTCATCATCCCAGCAAACCCCTGATCTCAGTGGCTCCCGTCTCGAAGTTGCTGGCCCAGAAGAGTCCTGGCCCAGCCGGAGTACCGCCTCCACCGCCGCCGCCTGCCCAGCGTCATTTGGGCGCCAAGATGGGTCGCCGGAAGCGGCGAGGCCTCTCCTCCTCCTCGGGATCGGAAACAGTTGCCAGTCTGCTGCAGAAACAGCAACAACACCAGCAGCAGCAACATCAGCAGCAGCAGCACCAGCAACATCAGGCGACTCCCACTTTAACGGCTGACTTTGCGGGTTCCAGTGTTCCACTGCCACCTCTATCGCCCATGCCAAGTGTCCAGGAGTCACCACCACAGCAGCAGGCTCCTCCTCAGGTGCCACCACCACAAGCTCTTCCACGGGGACCCACGGCCATTCCGGCCAGCTACTTTGCTACGCCTTCGAACGGAGTGCCCATGGGCCATCCATTCGTGGGACGTCCTCCACCGCCGCCGCATCACTTTATGCATCCTCCGCCGCATGGTATGATGCCCCGTGGATTTGGTCCTCCCTTTGGGCCCCCTCTTCCTCCACAAATGCCCGAGCTAGGATCCCTGTTGGGTGCTGTTCCGCCGGTGACCGTCATGGTGCCCTATCCAATCATCATCCCCCTGCCCATACCCATACCTGTTCCGCTGCCAGTGATGGATTTCTACAAGGCTCACCTAACTCCCGAGCAGAGGAAGCGTTTCGACGAGGAGCGGGCTGCCCCGAGCAGGCAGGAAACCCAAGGAGAGCAAGAGCAACCACTGGAACCGCTGGACTGCAGCAAAACCAGAAGTGAGCTGGAGGAGGAAAAACCAGAAGTGGAGAAACCAAAGGAGCCCCGCGAGGAGTTGGACAACGATCAGGAAGAGGATGACAAGGAATCCATACCAAAGACAAATCCAGACAGGGACACCACCCCGGCCTCGCCATCAATCTCGCAGGAGTCGTCGTCTTCGCCTCAGGAGACGCACTGCATCGTGCGGGATTCGGCGCAATCCGAGCCGGAGGCGGACAGCCAGAAGCTGCCCAAGCTGAAGATCACGCGGCTGCAAACCAAGCGGACGCTCATCCAAACCAAAGAGGCGGCGGCCGAGTGCAGTCGACCGCTGCGCAAGCGCAAGAGGATCATCGACTGCGATTTCCAAAAGATGGCCGTCAAGGAACCGGAAGTGGCCACAGATGGCTCCCAGAGCAACGGCAGCAGCGTCAAGGAGGCGGATCCGGATGAAGAGTGCAATACGAGCAGCAACCACAGCAGCAGTGGGCACGCTAAAGTTAAAAAGTAGATGTATAACTTAGGTTTTACCCTTAAAAAGTAGTAGAATGTATTTATCTATGTATGTGAGAGCGTGTGTCAGTGTGTATGTGTAAGCGGAAGCGGAAATGGAGTCCGGAGAAAGAAATAGAGAGCTAGCGGAAGGCACAAAGTGCATGCGGTAATTAAAATTGAATCTTAATAAACTAAAATATAACTTATTAAAGGAACAAATTTGTAATTATTGGTCGGAAGCAATCTTAATCCAGCTACGTAGAAAATAAAAGTATCCTAGATGGCCACAAATTATTTTCATATAAACTTTAATATGATTACATACACTTCATTCAAATATCTCATTTTCCTCAAGGAGTTCCAAAAGGAAATTAATTTTAGGTGCTTAATATTATCGAAACTAGCTGCAGGCACCTACGATATGTATAGTATGTTGCCAAAGCAATCAATTGGCTTCAAACATAACTATAGTCATTAACATTTGCCAAAGCCACTATTCAAAGCTCATTACAAAAATTTAAAAGTGAATTCAAGAGGATTTCTGGATCGTTGCATCCAAAGGTTTCTAGTACAGACACTGTAACACTTAAGATTAGATCGCAGCTTAATTGTAGAGGTCCCACAGGGATATCTGGCTGTCCATGCCTGCTGCCGCCATGATGGGAGCCCGCCACATGGCCACCTGTTGACTGGAGTATGCCAGGTCCATCACTCCGCCATTTTTATGCTGCGTGAGCACGGCTAGAGGACGGAGGCTCTTCCATGAGAAGATCCGAATGCGTCCGTCCCAGCCGCCACTGGCGAACACCTTCTGGTCGGACCGAATACGGACGCAATTCACGCCAGGATTCTTGATGCACAGCTCCGAGCCCTTCTGCAGTTGCATCGAGGGTCTTTGGTAGCTGAAACTAATCAGTTTATCGGCTGTAAAAAAAAGGCCTGGCTTAGTAACAGTAAAAATGTATTTAAACTCAAATTCCGACTTACTTGGACTACCCACAATGCCACGATTTGTAACCGGATCATAATCAACGGACGTGGCATCCTGGGCCAACTCCAGCACATCCACAATGACGCCCGAGCTGATGTCCCAGGTGAGGAAGTGACCCGACTCGTAGCCAGCCAGCAGGAACAGCTGCGAAGCGCACTCGAAGGGCTTGAAACAGGTGACACTGCCCAGTTTGGGTAGCTGCGGATCATCTGGAACCAGCATCTGGGTTGGGGCAGCTGCATCTGTCACATGGAGCACCCCGATGGAGGACTCATCGCAGGGATAGAAGAGCAGCTGCTCGTTGGTGTTGCTGGTGCCCGTGTGGAGGGCAGATCGACAAAAGCCTAGGTGGTTGCCTGGAATGCTGCGCTCCTTTACGTAGCTACTGCCGCCGATGGAGAACATGGTGATGGTGCCGCCCTTCTCCTGAGTCACCAGGCGATCGGGGGTGTGGTGCAGGCTGGTTATGGGGTCGGGTCCCACCTCGAAGTGCAGGGCGGAGCGGTTGGTCTGTAAGGGGAGCAAGTACGAGTGGTTATTTATTGAATTTAATAGTTATAAATTATAGCTACATAAGTGATAAGTTATCACTGATAAAATAATCCTCGATCTAGTACAAAAATATAAATTAACATGAAACTAAATAATTACTTGCGTCATATTGTGGTCTATGGTTGTTGCCCTAGGAACGATTGATTCTATTAAGAATTTTAATAAACCTATTGTCTTGCCTTTAATTAGCAAAACACTTTTTCTTTTTTTATCAACCTTGGCACATGTATAACTTTTTAGATTACATTTTAATTCTATGGCTATCCTAAGAATGATAAGTCGAAAATAATGTATGTCTTTTGCCACTAAGTTTCTTTGAAAAAATTTGGCACCGGCAGGGCGATGGTGCTATAAATATTACAAGACAGTTGGATCAAGATCGGACTATAAAACATGTATTCGAACGATCGACAGGTAAGAACATAAAAATATACAACTAAAAACTAGCATTTTCCTAAATATTTTAACTGGTCTTCAATCACTTTAGAACTTTATTTAGTTCCTTATCAATAGGTAATGTAAATATGAGGTTATCACCTGTAAGTCCCAAAGGAAAACACTGCCTTTCACAGTTCCCGCCAACAAGCGATCGTTTTCCTGAAAGCAGAGTGAGTTAACGGCTCCCATGTCGGGGGATCGCAGGCTGAATACAGGATCTGGTGGTAGCACAGCCATAATTAGTTTTGTTTAAATTAATTAACTAAAGTGAGTTTGTTTTTGTTTGGTCTCGTGGTAGTGTGGCCGTTGCGGGAATTTTCAAAAAAGATAAGAACAATGCTATCGAATTTTAATCGAGAGCGTTGCCAGACTTGCTGTAGTTCGGGGTAAAACCACTAGAGGGCGCTGCATTTGGCGCGCTTTCAACATAATTCGATCGATTTGCCGCCAGCAGCGTACAGAATACATGTCTTGGTGGTAGCTCAGCCATACTAGTTTTGTTTAAATTAGTTAACTAAAAAATACAGTTGATTTTGCTTGATTTCAAGAAAGATGGGGACAAAGTTATCGCTTTTAAGTCGAGAGCGCTGCCAAGCTTTGTTGTAGTTCCGTGCAAAAAACGCCAGAGAGCGCTGCATTTGGCGCGCATCGCACAAATTTCAAACGATTGGCCGCCAGCAGCTGTGTGACCCAACGCAAGACCCACGACGAATGTTTTTCTTTTTCACTAAACGTAGTAGCTTCTTGCGGAGAAAACGAGCTTAAAATTTTACAGCGAAAAATCATTAAGTCGCTAAATGCGCGGACTATTAAAAAACATAACGTGTACCGAAGGCTTACGCGGCTTTAATGGACTTTGTCAGCGGTCTCTCGTCTCTCATGTGGCCTAGACGCTAAGGCCCGAATCGTAAAAGACTTGTCAGCCGCGCGCACTTGGCCAGATTGCGAGCGAAGAAAACGGCCCCAAAAAAAGAGATATACTTATATGTGTATATATAGAGTCCATTCTGCCGGCCGTCCGCAACAAAGATCGCAAAATAAACATGCCATAAGCTCGTTAATCAATGCTAAGTTGACAGTTTTAAGTGGTTTTAGCGAGCCAACACCAGCGCAAACGGCAAATAAGTCGGAGACTCCTGTTGTGCCGCAGGCTCAGCATGATTTACGGTCCCAAAAAAATGCGCTATATTTTAATTGAGTGCAAGAATTTATTTGAAATTTGAATTCTTTCGTTTTCGGCTTTTGCCAAACAAACCGAATTTGGAAATGAGTTGCCAAATCATTACCTGAAGTAAGTAAAAAATTTAAAAATGTGAATTTTGAAATTTCAGAAGGTTCAATAAGAGTCCTGTAACACTGGTTTTTACACATATTTTAATAAATTTCAAAGTAGTTCCAACAAAATAGAGAACAACCAATAAGAAAACTAAACTTAAATATTTATTGCTTTGGTCGACCAAAATAGGACGTTTAATTTATCATTTCCAATGCAGTTGAACTTCCCTAAGTCGTTGTCTCCATAAGTCGAACTAGTTTTATTGGCAATAGAAAAAAATTAATGCTCATAAAATATACTTTATGACTCATTCTCCTTAACTGGAACATGCAAGAGTTATTGATCTTCGAGCAATATTTCTATTTTGAAGTTAACTTATTTTGCACAATTACGATAAGTCGATATCTTTAGCCATTTCACAGGTGCTCACACTCAGCATTTGAACTGCACTCTTTCGCAGTTGACTAGACAACCAGACGCACTCGGTAATTCGATTTGGATTCAACAAGTTAACACGTTTTCCCTTACCTCAACCCCATAAACCCAACCCTTTTAGCCCCATTCAGACGTCTGGTAAACAGTTGAAAATGCGGCTATAAGTTCATTTAACTGCCGAGCCAATCATAAAAAGGGTTCAAGCCCGTATGACCATTCCAGCTCATTTGCTTTCGACTCGGTTAATTCTTTTTGTCTCCCACAGGATAAAGGAGGAGTTGGGGCCAGAGGTAGCTGAACGACAAGACCATAAATCTTTTCGCCACAGAACCAAAGGCACGAATTCGAATACGTATACGAATCGGTGGAAGTGAGGCGTTTAAACTATTTATGCATGTTCGGTAATCCATTTGAAATGGGTCAACGACTACAACAGCAATAACAACAACAACAGGAACGGGAACAACGAGCTCATAAAACTCCTTAAACGTTTCCAATAACCCAACCCAGTTCGAAGTTGAAAACATATTGGCTTGTTACCTTAATGAAGTCATAAATTTTCGCTATCGCATTCGGGCCATCTCGGCCAGAAAAGAGAGTCCCCAGTACCATATTGGAGTCCCAAGCGAGTCCCCGAGCTACAGGTTTCTAAGGAATTCCATTTCGGGATAGAATATGCTCCTATACCAAGTGTTTTGGCACACATACGCATCCGTATGGCCGATAGTTAATCAGGCTTATGCTGATATATGCTGACAGAGCCGGTCTCTGGTGTAGGCCGCCACTCTCGGAAAAGGATATAGGTCCTCATCTCGGAGGATGGGCTTTGTATCCACAGATCTACATCCATGGCTACGGCTGTGGATATCCCCTGCTGGGCGAGTATTCCGCGTATTTGCGAGGCGGGCTATGAAAATGAAGTTATCACGCGACAAACAATGTCTGCTCGGGCCCCTGCCACCAATAACTTTATATGGTTGTCATTATTAGTCGGAAATTAAATGGCCCCGGCCACAGAGGACGACACTTGGATGACTACCCGACTTATTTATGTGCTACCTTAATGGAGCTTCATCTACTCGAAATTGAGACGGCGATTTGTTCTACTCCCCTGGCATCTGCGATCCAACTCCTTCCCGTGTTGAGTTTTTATTTCGCATTACTTTGCCATCTCCATGAATCACTCGATGGGGAAAAAGGTAGCGATGGGGTCTAGGTGCTGGTATTTTGATTTGGAGATCGCCAAGGTAGGATCGCCGGGCAGGAGGCATTCCAGAATCAGAAGGAATTAAGATGAAGTGATGGGGAGATACAAATGGCTTAGGGATTTTGAAATAATTTTTGTGACAAATTTGAAATTAAAGAAAAGTCCCATTAGGATTAAGAAGAATATACCTAGAATAACGCGCACCTATTTTAAAAATACCGTCTTTAGTTAAATTTTTGTTTCCGAAAAAGGGTAGGATGAGTTTACTATCTGAGTTAAATCTTTATTTTTTCTGATTTTTAATATTTGTAGTAAAATCTTTATAAAGGTTGCTATTAAGATTAAGATCCGAACTTCGATATGATTACTTTTATATCAATCAATAAAGTAGTGAAGTAAGAAATATTTGGGAAAACCCCCTAACCTTTTTAAGACACTTGCAAACAAAAACCGGCAATATTTTTACCCACTTTTGCTTTCTTCTTTGCTACGATCCCATGGAAAGTGATTGGCCCGACTGATGCAATCAAAGTAGAAACCACAACAGATTCCCCAAAATAAGTTGGAAACTCCGGCCGAGCGCAATCAATTAAAATATCGACGTCTATCAGCGTTATTATAAATCAAACGATAACATAAAATTGACACTAAAGGCGTTTCGACCATTTTTCATGCCGGCCAACGTCGACGACGAGATTAAGGCCTCGGATATAGAGATAGATATATGGCATCCGAGCTCGGTGGCCAAACTTACATGGAGTTGGAGCTGGAGTCACATTTTGGGGCACTTGAGCTCGCGCCTGAACTTTGCTTCGTATTTATGCAAATTATCCGTTGCCGGACGGGAAAAACTGGTCCACAAAACGGCAACGCATGGCGAAGTGCTCTCTGTAATTGATCAATTTCCGCCGAGCAGCCAGACCGGATCGAATCGAATCGAAACGAAACGAAACGAAACGGATCGAATAAGATCGGATCGATCGGCCAGAGAAGTGAGAAGTTGGCAGACCCGCAGGTTGGCCAGATACGATTCGATCGGATAATGTGATGGCCACTTGATCATCGGCTGATTTATGGAGTTCGACGAGGGCTTGGCTAATGAAATGCCACTTTAGATAACATATTTTGTGGCCGTTTTGTCTTTAACCAGCCAGGGCACCCACCACATCCATATAGGGCCTATGGAATGGAGAGTTATGACACCTGGTGGAGGTGCACCCACATTGGACATTCCACTTGATTGCCCCCGACCCTCGGAGCGGCAATCAGACGCACTCAGCAAAAGTGCCAATCAAGCGCAGGACATGTGGACAAAGGATGCGCTCGTCTGCCCATAATCCTGGGTGTGAATGTCGAGTAGATAGGGACAGTAGGGTGGGGCACTGGACGGCGGACGTCGGTCCTCGGACATCGAAGGGCCTGAAATCGAAACCTTGTCGCTGGGGTGTCAATAACATTGTCCGTGCGACTGCCTCCGGGCATGATTGTTGTCGTCGTTCTGGTCGTTGTTGCGGCCATTGATGATGTGAATGCGTTTTCAGCTCCATTGAACCGGCAGAAGCGGCACAGTGGACCTCAAAATTTGGGTATCAAGTGTGCCTGCTGAAACAAATATAAATTCCTGTTAAAGCGTATGCCTCTTTTCGTTATAAGATAACCCACAGACACAAGACCATAACTATAAAATCACTACCATAAGTTTACAATTAGTAGAATACATATACAACCTTAACTTATGTTCCTTTCTGCAACTTTTTCATATCACTAAACTTGCTCCACCGTTGCCCAGAAATTCCAATTTAATTGCGTGAATCAAAGTTGTAAATCATTATGCTAAGTGCCCTTTAATGTCTCAAAATGCAGCTCATTTGCAAGTGCAGGTCCCGGGTTTCCGTTCCCAGTTCTCAGTTCCCCAAAGCCTCCAATGCATCCAATGCATCCACAATATGGATATATGGCCCCGAGGGCAAATAATCATGTCGGAACGGACAAGGCAGGATGGAAAGCATGGAAAACGGGAGCGGCTTAAATTGCTACTGGCCAGGCTGTTGGCTGACATAACCAGAGGGTTGAGATGGGTTGGGCTCAGGTTGGGTTTGGTTTGGCCTGGCTTGGTGTGAGCTCGCCTCCAAGAACTACTTTCAATTATCAATTATGAAGTTAATATCTTCTTCAGGCCGAGCCTGCAATTTGAATGCCAAGAGGTGTCACTAGCCAGTTAGTGGCCATTGGCTAGAGTTAATGGTTCAATCAGCACTCTCTTTCAAATGGGCCTAAATGCAATTGCGGTTTCCATTACCATTTCGGGACATAATGAACGGCGCTCGTTTAATTAAAACGCCGACTGACCGACAGAAATCAATTTAACTGTGGCCCCAAACCAAATTGCGGTGCCAAAAGC